CCTCATCATTCATCAGGATCATTTTCAAACAAGTATCTCTGTGCTTTCTCCAGTTCTGCCCCTAGAAAGAATGCCTTAATCAACACTTCCAAAACTGTCTCATGCTCCTTCAAAAATCTCCTTTGAGGTTTACTGCATGTCCTGCAGTAAAGAGAAAAAAAAATTTTTTTTTTTAAGTTATTCTTGGAGGAAGTTTGAGAATGGGTCCAAATCTGGCCCTAATCAAGCTATAGTATGACTTACCCTTGGCTCTGTGGGACTTATTTTCTTGCATTGGGTGTTGAATAAAACCCAGCCTTGAGTGAGAGGACACTCTTTTGTCTCTTATCTTCCTATGAAACGTGCCAATGGAGGTTCCTAGTCTTTCTATTTTTGTTTTTGTTTTCCCAGACAGCATTTCCAGCTAGCTCAAGAGTTTCAGCTATAAAGGTACTGCAGAGGAATAGATTATGACTGTAGTCTTACCCTCTCAGACTAATACCCTTGGTACAACACAAATCCTTGAATTTCCCTAGGCAACAAACCAACTGTTCTCACAGACCTTATAGAAACTTGATAGCTTGGAGAAAGTCTAGTGCTTCATCATATTTGGATAAAATTGACAGAATTGGCCTCAAAAGTTGGTGGAATGGAAGAGATGGGTACAGTGAGTCTTCAAAATCTTGATTTCTAGAATGACGCCTTTGTTTAAAGAACTATGAACAAATCTGGCAAAGCTCCGAACAGACATTTTGGCTGAGATTTTCACTCAGCAGTTTGTTTCGTAGTGTTATGTGTGCAAAAAGGGAAACTGGACAAAAGAACAAAAGACACAAAGCATTCTATTATAAAGTCAAACAAAGAGGGTCTGGGACATCCCTTTTTCAAGAAACTTCTGTAAGACCAGGATGTGGAAAGAGATGCAGCAGTCTCCTGAGCGCACTAAATGCTTGCTGACAGGACAGCCAGGAGTCAGACAAACTGAAGTATAAAACTTAGAGGAAAATTTGACTGAAATTTGTTGCTGATCTTCAAAAGAATATAAAAAGAAGAATATTTTTAAAAATTATCAATATCTGGTTATGTTTGCAAATAGAGGGGAACACTCATGCATGTGGCAGACAAAAAAATACCTTATCAAAGTAGTTCATTACATGCTTTTAAATCTTATTGTCATATTTGCTGGCTGAATGCTGGTTGAACAGAGAACTGCTTTGCGCGGGAGGGTGAGGAGGAATATCCCTATGTTGTTCTACCTAGGAATATAGGGAGAGATAAAGTGGGAAACAAGAAGTTATTTTGGCCTTCAGCATAGATCTGGACATGTACTTTTTCCCCTAATCAGATTGTTCAAGAGTCTCTAGCCCCATTGGATGCTGAAAATACAGTCACAAACTTCAATGGCAATAAAGATATGGGGACAAAGGTTGACCACAACCATATTCCATACAGAAGTCTTAAGGTTCTTACTATTCAGGTAAGAAAACATACTTTTATTAAATCTGTAAATAAAAAGCACTCCATTTACAATGATATTTGAATTAATTGGTATGGATTTAATGGGTTGCGATGACAAAAATGAACCTGCCTGCTGTAGTTACATTGTTGCTGTTTTCAGATGGGAGCACCTTTCTCTGAGAGCACTTGAATTTATCCAGTAATTCATGTTGGGGGGGTGCGGGTGGGGGGGAAGAAAAAGAAAAAAAGCTGCAAAGAAAGGCTGAGGAAATCATGAGTTTTTTGGTTTTTTTGTTAGAAAGGACTGAGGAATACTTTTGATAAAAATACTAAGTACTGAAAAGTTATCTTCAGAAACAAAAGTGAATATGCTGTTCTCTGCATTTAAGTGAATGTAAGGAGTCATGGGCATGGGAGAATTTTCTCCACATAATGACACTTAAATCCTGGAATACATGGATGCCTATAGACACTCTATTAGGAGAGGCTTTTAAGAATCTATTAAAAATTTTCAGGAAAATTTTAGTTAAAATCCCTAGCAGCCAAAATTCTACTATTCTATAACTGCCAGACTCCATAAAATGCATGTCCTGGGATAGAGGAATCTGTGTTTAAACATTGTATCAGCATAGATTTTTAACTGAAACAAGATTGTTCATTAGAAGACGGGGAAAAACTGCTTACATTTCATACTGTTTCATTTTTACAGGGTCACTGGTAAGTATTACCATGGGAAAAACAAAACCAGCAAGGCATTTTACAGAAAGAAAGCCCTGATAATAATAATTTTGAAAGTGCAATCCTTAATTTAGTTGTGCTACGCCATTTCAGCCCACTGGTCAGTTCAAGTTACAAACCTTTACTATGAGTATGCTCTAGGAGTAGCTCAACAGTGACCTTGGGTGGAAGTTTGACAACTTCACATTTGTTAAACTACAAGTTTCTCTTTAAATCACTGATGTAAGCCAACAGAGAGAGCAGTACAGTAACATTTTTTGTTCCTAGGAATTTATCCATGAGGGTATTTTTTTTTCATTAAGAAAGGAAAAAAGAAATAGCAATCTGGAAACACTGACAGAGAAGATGAGATACTTTTAACTCTTTAACACTGAAAGGAGAAACTGCCAGTGAAGGTAATAGAGATTTCATGGAAGACAGAGGTAAGTATGGACACATGAACAGAGCAGGCAAATTACATTTCTTCTGCACCATTTACTGCATGTAGAAAAATTTGGTAGGAAGATATAGAAAGAAAAGATGTTTGCAATCCTCTCTGCCCTTGACAGTATCAAACCATAAGTTTATTCATATTTTCCGTATTGTAGTGAGTTCTCTCTGCATTTACCCTTGTTATTTTGCGTTGAACATGTGAAGAGATCAAAGGAGTCCTATAAGAATTTCATCTGGAAGTTTTGCTTTTGGTCCTGTTGATTACGAAGCCTGGATATTGATGGGTTCCCAATTCCAGTGGTTGACAGCTATTCACATATTCATTTTTCAGCACATACCACATCTGATTGCAGGTAAAGAGAGTTCCACTTTGAATATATATTAATAAAACATCTTGTTTCTGCCAAGGTTCATGGAAGTAGAAAAGTAAAAAATAATGAGTACGCATCATTTGTTGTGTTTTTGTTTTGTTTTGTTTTTTAACTTGGATGATGTATGAGGCCTAAAAACACTTATCAAATAAAAGCCTGTGGTGCAGTCTGAGATGTGCAAAGGTACCTGAAACATCAGCATAAGCTGGAAGATATGATAGGGCTTGCAGGAAACGTATGACCCTCTGGTGAATGGAGGATAAGTGGGATACTCCAAGGTAAGTCAGATAGCACCAGACACCTTGATGTAGCCAGATGAGTTGTGTCCGAGGTGTTGGATTCAGCTCACAGATTTAGCTGCCCATTTCTAGCTCTCCACAAGCAGATATCTGCATGTGAACTCAGCATATAGGGTAAGATTCAGTTGCCCATGCATAAGTATCTACTGGTATTTTAGATATGATAGGATTTTCTCCTTTGCCTCTAGCTGCTTTAAAACAGAACAGACTTACTGTATACCCTGTTCCACATCTGCTGCTCCTGTGTTTAGTGTACCTTGAGGCATCAAAGATGGCACAAGATCATATGTTCAAGCAACTGTATCCCGTGAACAGAGAGATTTTCAATGAATGAAGATAGGTTTCTACTATAGGATGAACAGACTCTGTCTCCATTGGCTATATAGGAATTTAGTCAGCTGAAATGTAAACACCTCCTTAGGGATATTTGTATACAGGTGCCCTATTCTGGCCCTGAATTTCCACTGTCTGTAAATTATTCAGGTACCCAACCACAGACATCTAGTGCCATTGTAAATGCTTTAGAGTATCTGATATTTCTTGCCAAATGGAGCTGGCAGATATAATTACACATTGATGTGGATTGTGTCCTTCAGGCTTGGTAAGATGCAATACCATATAGCATAGGAAGTGACATAATATTCTTATGATAAGATATCTGAATTATTTCCTGGATGTTGCATGGTAGATTGTTAACATGCCATAGAATAAAGTCAAGTTGCTGTGATATGACTTCTTTGAAAGTCCATGTTGGATGTTATATATTATTTTGTCATTTTCAAGGTGCCTTTCTTCCATTCTAGTATCTTCCTTGGCATTAAAATGGGAGTGACTGCTATAAAATGAGCTGGTTTTCCCTTTTTCTCCCTTTCAAACATACATATTGTGGGTGGGATTCATCTCGTAGAGCTTTAGAAGTATGAAATTTGGACATCCAGCTTCAAGGTAGTCACCCTAGGCTTCTCCTTTCAAAGAAAAGAACTGGACCAGAGCAACACTGGTCCTTTTACAAAGGCTGTAATTATTGGATCTCTGCGGTTGCCTGTCTGCCAGCACCATACGGATGTCTTGCATAGCCTAGGACATTTCAAATGACAGTTGGTGTCAGTGTTTGGACAACTGAATCCCACCTAGCCATTTTTATTTGATAAATCCTGCATCCTGTGCTTGACCTTTTACAGACTTCTCGAAGTTCACCCATTTTTCCATGTTTTTGCACTAGCAGTCACTAATGCCCATGAACTTGCTTCAGTAAGTGTTCAAAGTACTGAAGGATAAATTTCATGAGCCTCATGTTATCTGAACATTACTCAGCTGCTTATGTATTCTGCCATGTTATTTTTCACTTTTCTTTTGGGTTCCTCTCCTGTTGATATTGGTATTTGTTCTATTAGTTTCCTGAATTAGGGCCACATAAAATGTGAAATGCATAAACATAAACAACTGCAATAGGTAGGATTTGCAATTTTATGTCCACACAGGTCAGTCTGTAAGCTCTCTTCCTTATACCTCAGTCACTGGAGTCATTGGAGAAGGAGTCATTCTGCCCTGCCATGTGGGAGCAGAGCACATTCCCGAGATATTTTCTGTTCAGTGGATATTTAATGAACAATCTAAAAAAAGAACTGTGAGCAGATATGACGGAAAAAACAAAAAGGAGATACAAGATGAGAGATACCAAGGCAGAACAGAATTCTTCCACAGAGAATTTAGAGCTGGAAACATGTCTCTGCACTTGAAGAATGTCAAGAACTCTGACAAAGGATCGTATACTTGTGTGGTCTCTTTTGACAACCAGTACCACGATGTGCTGATTGAACTGGAAGTAGCAGGTCAGTGGCTATTCTCTCTCTTAATGTATGCAAAGATAGAGCTGAACAGAAACATGGATATCGATCATTGACTGAGGGAATCACCATATAATTTAATTTTAATATAATTTGATTGATAATCTGTCTTTATGGAAAGAACATGAGGGATATGTTTGATTCAATATAGCTTTCTCCGGATTAATGACTATATCACATACTTAAGGTAAGATCTAGCTCCAGTCTGAGATATCTGAATTTAAGTACATGAATTAAGTACAAGCATCGGCATGGGAGCTGAGAATTTAATTTCCCTTTATACTCAATGGAAACCTAGCTAGCAAATTGAGGGAAGTTTACAGCTATTCAGCTGATGAATGCAAAGTTAAATTTAGGCTTCTTCTGTGTAATCACCCATGACTAAACTGATTGTGTAGGCTTTCCATATGGTCAGCATAGTCAATGGTATGCACACCCATTGAGTCTAATTGGTCCCATACCTGCTTATAATGCTGCATGTCCATGGCAGGAAAACAAGGCAGTACCTAGGCCTTCACTGCTCCAATTTCCACTTCAGTGCATTAATAGATACACACCTGGTAGCTTAAGTTAGTGTAGTTGGTTTGGAAGGGAACAAATATTTCTTCTTGCTTTTCTTGCTACAGAAGGGTAAATTTCTACTGGGTAAGTGTGGTGAGCATGGTTTTCAGCCCTTTTAGACAGTAGGATTAGACAAGGCCTTCTCATCCCCCCAGAGTCCATTCCCCTGGTTTTCTACATGATCATGACATAAGATTTCAGTGAATAAAAAGGAAGACAAGCCATCTTCCATCCAGAGAAGTTACATCTCTCACTCTGAATGGAAGGCTTTTCAAAATCTCTCTTCTCTGAGCATTAGAGAACAACTTTCAATATCAAGAAAATGAGCTGTGAGACATTTTTTTCACAGTAGACCTCATCTGTAGCATGCCAGTAGTAGTTGTACCTGAAATAACTAGCCTGACAATAATCTTTTCTGTTTTCATGGACTATTACTTGTTCCTAGGCTTCATGTAATCCACTAATACTCATAATTTTATGGATTTTTTTTCTTAACAAAATTCTGGGAATTCCACTGGCAACCCCCCTCCAGAACTGCAGTCCCCAGTTGCCATTATCTTTTGTACTCTCCATTAAGTCTTTCCTTACTCTCAATTTGATAGACTCTGCCCATGAAGAACTGCTGACTATGAAGAAAGCAGCTCCAGGGCCTAAGACTCTGTCATAGTTTAAATTCAGAAAAGTCTTTCTATGTAATTTCATGCAAATTAAAAAAAAAAAAAAGTTAAATTCCAGCAATTCCTTTAAAAATTGGACAATTTTCCACTCTAAATATTGCTTAAAATGGAGAATATGCATATTTTTTTCTTAGCTAGAGGTGATGTGCCTTCCATTTTCCTGAAGAGTCATGTGAAGCAGGGTATCAGCCTCACTTGCCACACAGAAGGGTGGTTTCCTGAACCCCAGGTGATTTGGCTGGATGGTCAAGGACAGACCCGGAAGGAACTATCAGCCACAAAGATAACGATGATGCCTGCTGGTCTATACAGTGTCGTAGCTTCCATGAACCTGGAACCAGGATCTGACATGGAAGTGTCTTGCAGAGTAGTCAACAATCTGCTAAACACAATGAGCGAGTCCCGAGTCCTGATTTCAGGTAGGTGAGCTTCAGATAGACTGTCTGCTAAATGAAAAGGTTCCACTTTTATGTCATGAGATGTCCTGAAGATGCATTTGCAAAATCAGTGTGTAGTGTTGGAGAAAAGTTCATGAGAACTGCAGTCGTCTTCTACCTTTTTCTCCAGTTTACTGCAGAGCCTTCAACAGAGCTCAGTAAATCAGTTTCCCATCTAAAGAGGCATCAGATATTATCAACGTTTCGTGTCTTTGTTCCAAATTCAGTACAGCCAACTTGCTGGTGCTGAATTAAAATGGATTAAAAATATGACTCTATATACATACAAAAATGGCATATTTCCTCAGTGACAGTTGAGCAGATGTATTGTCTGCATCTTGAGTTATAATTTTCTTTATCTCTTAAGGCATTAACAGAATATAACTTCCTTTGGTTATCTTTACAGATGTTTTCTTTCCATCCATTTCAAAATGGCTAGTTGTCTTCCTGGTAATTTTATGTCTTAGCATGGTCCTTATTTCCACTACATTCTGTAAGCTGAGAAGTAAGTATTTCTTCCTATGTTATTTTAGCCAACATATAGAAATACTGCAGTTAATCTTGAAACCTATGATTGTAACAAAAACTCACAAGCAAAATCATCTCTGACTCCTTAACAACCAAATTCAGAAAATGGAACACAAAAGGGGTTGGAAAGCACATGGGCTGAGCAAGAGAGCATGCATCCTTACCTTAGAATGCAATCCTTATCTCAGATGGCTTTAAGTCTGACAAGAGTAGCTTTGTGAAATAAACTATTTGTGTAGGCTCATTTCTATAAAAATGAGAGAGATAAAGGTAACTCTAGAGGGTGATCAGTGACAGTGGTGTCTATATGACAAATCAGAGAACTGATTTCTGTCTGCATTACTGCAGAATAACATGTACAAAAGTTTTTTTCTCGCCTTTTTTTTTTTTTTTACCAGGCCACCACAAGAAAACAGTAAAATTAGGTAAGTAATGAGGAAGAGGAATATAAATATTATGAAAATATGTTGGGGGTACAGTTTATTTATACTAAATTACAGAACTAATTAGCAGTCCTAGCTGTATCTAGAAGTTTCACAGAATCACAGAAGAGCTGAAGTTGGAAGGGACCTCTGGGGATCATCTGATCCAACTCAACCACTCAAGCAAGGTCAGCTAGCCCAGGAAAATGTCAAGTCGGGTTTTGAATATCTCCAAGGATGGAGACTCCACAACCTCTCTGGGCAGCCTGTTCTAGTGCTCAGTCACCCTCACAGCAAAAAAACTTTTCCTTAGATTCAGGTGGAACTTCCTGTGTTTCAGTTTGTACTCATTATCTCTTGTCCTGTCACTGGGCACCACTGAGAAGAGTCTAGCCCCATCGCCTTTACACCTTCTCTTCAGATACTCATACACATTGATTAGATCCCCCCTCAGCCATCTCTTCTCCATACTGAACAGTCCCAGCTCTTTCAGTCTCTCCTCATATGAGAGATGCTCTAGTTCCTTAATCATCTTTGTGGTCTTTTGCTGGACTTACTTCAGTAAATCCATGTCTCTCTTGTACTGGGGAGCCCAAAACTGGACATGGTACCCCAGATGTGACCTCATCGGTATTGAATAGAGGGAAAAGATCACCTCCTGTGACTTCCTGGCAATATTCTTCTTAATGCAGCCCAAGATACCATTGGCCACCTTTGTGATGAGGGCACTTTGCTGACCCCTCTTCAACATGTTCTCCACCTGGACACCCAGGTCCTTCTCCACAAAGCTGCTCTCCAGATGGTCAGTCCCCAGCCTGTACTGGTACATTGGGTTCCATGGTTTTTCATTTTATTTTTGCACTGCACAAAGTGATGAGATCCAGTATGAGTGTTTTCAGCTGTGCCTTAAGAATAGAGTCTGTTTCCTTTTCTCATTAAGGTCTAGTCATTACCATATGCTGATTGACATACTGTACCATGTCATTCACGTTCAGGTGTCCTTTGTAATTGTTCCAGAGTTAATTAATGGGCTAAAAGTGATACTTTGGTTCTTTAGAAAAGGAAAAAAAATGAATTAATTCAACAATCAAAAAGAATTCAAGTATCCAATTTAAGGTCTGCCATAAGACTCTAAAAGCAGGAGGCTTTTACTGTTTGAATGCATCTTTTTGAGACTCACCAGCAATATTTATACTTGAAAATAAAATGGGCCAGTTGGCACTTCTCGCTGGTCCTGATACCTGCTGGCATAGGATGACTCACATCCACTGTGTTTAACTCTCCTGCTCATCAGGATAGAGCATCCATATTCAAACCATCTGCTGGCAATGGACGGTACCTCATGTTGTCGCTCAAGGCAATACCTGCCTGTTGTTTGGAAGGGTACTAATTGGTTCATGTCATAACTATGGCAAGGGCTATTCTAATAAATGAATGTAAATAAATGAATAGTTGTTTCCTGACACATATCTGGCCTTGCTCCCTGGAACTGTTTGGAAGTTAAGGATACATATATCCATGGGGCCAAAAGGTATTGATTTGTAATTTCTGAACCTGAGGCTACAGTTAGAACAAGAATCATCCAGGAAAAGCTGAATCTCTCAAGGTATTTCATGGGGGGGGGAGGGCAGCTCTTTTAGCAATGAGAGATGTCTTAGTTTAAAAAAGTGAACTCTGGTCTAACAAGAAGCCACAGAAAGTTTATTAGGTTAAAGTAGATTAAAGTCCTAACCCCACTTATTTCAGTTCATGCATAATCTTCACTGTTGAAGAACAAGGGAATTTTAAAAGAATAAACAACATTATGATCTGATTTTCTTCATTTTTCAGTAAAAGTGAAGATGGCAATGGAAGAAGGTAAAAGTCCTTTGCATTTGAAATGATGCTAAGATGTTCCGAGATATCTAAGATGCAAATTCAGGGAAGCAATATTCAAATAGCAGCCCTTTTCAAGGTTAAGGAAAAAGTGACAGGCACACATAGTACAGTGAAGGCTGTAGATGCCTATGAAAGAACTTGGGCCAGCAGTGACCTCTTTGATAACGCAGCCCAGATCCCTGATGTTCAATGGAACCTTCTTATTAAGCTTCTAGCATTCCATCTCTTCCTGGTGACCACTCGTCTGCCTTCTTCAAGCCTATTCAGACCTACCCTTAAGTCAGCTGAGTGGCCCTCTGCACCCCATACACTTTATTCATGGATCTCTACTGACCATAATGGGAGTATGGATGCCTACAGCTCAATCCACTTGCTTGCATACAGGTGTCCTGTATTATTTGTGATGCTCTTGGGTATCCCACTTAAATCCCAGCTGCCACCTGGGAAGAAAGCAGATACCTCATAGATTTTGTATGGTATCTGACAGCCTGCACAGAGCTGTGAGACACCCTACAGCATGACAGATATCTGCATGCAAGGAAATGAGTCATGCCTTTAGTGTCTAGGCTCCCCTGACAGCCAGTGAGCAACTGCATGATACACTCAGATACACCTAAGAATGGATTCAGTTGCTTTTCAGTGCCATTTAAGACACCCTCAGTTATTTGAAACACCAGGGCAGGGCTACCAGAACTAACAGAGCATCAACAGGAAACCAGAGCCCTACTGGAAAGGCACCTACATGCCAAGGCATCTCAAATGCACTAGATACCTGTGTATGGGCTACAGAATTCCTCTCTCCAATGTGGTCAAATGATGTATAACTTAAACATGAGGGAAGTCCTCAACTAGCAATATAAATAAGTCTTGTTCTCATCCTGCTTAACCTGCAGGAGCTATCTAACTATAATAAAGTTAAAATACTGTGATGCATTCATGAATTACTCTATTGAAATTCCTCTGGATTTGCACTTACTAAACTCAAAGGAGTTAACAAGACAATGAAAATAGCTATACTCCACAGATATATGTGGTATATGGTCATGTAATTTGTATATTTACCCTGTTGAAGCCAGTCTGTCACAGACCTGACACTGATATCTATGTAATATCTTTTCTAGAAAAAGAAAAATTGAAGTCAATGTTAGGTAAGATATTTAAGCTGCTCATTGTATTTTGTTGTCTTTGCTACTGATATGCTCAAATGTTTTTGTCTAGTTACTGGATTTGTTGGCACTCTTCAATGTGTTTAAGTACTTACAATTAAAAGCAATAATAAACCAAATCAATAGAAGTCTCATGTGAAATACTTGAGATATCCGAGATGTTTACTTTTCTCTTTTCAAAAAAGGGCCTTAAGTGTTGTAGAGATTTTTTGTGTGCTTAGCTGGAAAACAATCAAAGAGAAAGCATGTTGGAATGATGCATTTTTCACAGAAGTGACGCAGGCTTAACACTGAAGCTTTAGAGACTACCACATAAAAGCCCAGTTTGTAACTTTAAATTTCCATTTTATACCCAATAACAATGCCATTAACCTTATTTCTTTTCTTCTTTTCTATGTGCTGAACATTTTAGAGAAAGAGAAAGACAAAAATAAAACAGGTAAATCTCCTTTTAATAAAAAAATTCTTTGAGGATGGAGGCAGTCCTTCCACAGTGTAAATAAGGTAGCCTGTTCAACTACCTTGTTTTTTTTTTATTTTAAATCACTTCTCAAAAATGTTATTAGAGGTGACTACAACACAAAGAGGCCAATGATACTTACTTCTCTCCCTGGTATGTTGTGCATGTGTTATCGCCTGGATCGCGGACCACCAATCTCACTCGAAGAGGTGGATTAGGTCTTCTCTCTCCCTTGTGTCTCTCCCTGGACACAACTGCAAGTACTCATAGCTCATCTTTCTCAATCTTCCCTTCCCCGCTTTTCAGACACTGCTTCCTAGAGGTCTTGCAATGCCAACTCAGGCATAAATTGACTGAAACCATGAACTGAAAATGAGAGTTTTTTCCCTTTCTTCTCCTTCCTGCTTTCTCTTTACCTCTTGCTTCTGGATTTTCTTGCCGGCACAAAGAGCTAGAGATCCTTATTTCCTGCTTGGCATCTCCAGTCGGCTCTCTTTACATGTTTTTTTCAACCATCAAGCTCACTACTGCAGTTGTGCCCGTAGTAAACAACTTCAGCCTCTTTGCTTCATATTCCTCACAAATCTCCTGCTGTCTACTGGGGGAGGGGGCGGGGGAAAGTAAAGTTTATCCCTATTCCTTCTCTCCATATGGTGATCACTTAAGGATCGATAACTATTTGGAAATCTTTTTTCTTCTTATTATCCTTCCTTCCCCCTTCTCTTCAGAACCTTGAAATGCATAATAATTTTGATCATCTTTCTCATAGTTGCATTCAGATTGAAGTTATATATCGAACAAACAAATGAACACCTGAAAAATGATATAAGTAACAAACTTACTAAGTTACTCTGCAGTCCCTGATTTTAACATTTTACTATTTTCTCCATGGCATACTGCATACAATTTGGAGATGACTGGCCTCTACCTTTTCCAGTTTCTGAAGTAAATCATATATCATTAATGATTATCTTTATTTAACTCATTGAAGCTATTCTTTTACAGCAAAGGCTGAAAACAGAAAACGTCTTGGTAAGAAAATATGTCTTAAATAAATCTTGCATTCTTAAGAACCTTAGAAACAGCACAGCTAGTGAGCATGGAGCCTGTCTATGCCTTCCCTGAGGGTGAAGCCCAGTGCAAATATCTCGTCACAATGAGATTCTGTTTCTTCCCTCACGAAATATGGCACTTAGCTCTCTCCCGGGATTATGAAAACTTCCTCGGTCAGAGGTTTGCCACGCCTAACACTACAACAAAGCTACGGACACCTATATTGTGTCGTGAGTCGTTACGTTACAAATCAGGTCTACCGGAACCACTGTGATGACAACCAAGAAGCAAGTCATCTCCTCGTGGTCACACGGCCCATGGACTTAACGTCCTCTGAAAGGCTTTCCAAATGCAAGCAAAGGCAGACCAAGTCTGAAGGCCCACCTTGTGTCCTTCCCCTTGGAATGCAGTCTCAAAAATTGAAATGGCTTGAAAAAAAAGTCCCCACGCTGAGTTTTGGGGCTGTCTATTCTTCTTTGCTTTGGAGCGTTCCTACTTTGAAAAAGGGGAACACGAAAGAGAGATAAAAATAGTGTTAATGATGGGCACGTCTTTCCCTTACAGCTCGATACCAGGTTGAGTTGGGTAAGTGGTTTCAAACATTTATTTTCTTGCTAGATGCACCGGTGCATTAAGTAGAGCAAAGCCAACACTCATGCAAAATCACAGGGATGGCAATAACTGTACGTGAGTAGATGGAATAGTTTCATCTGAGAAGCATTTCACTACCCCATAGCTTCATGAAACACTAATGTCCATTAGATTAACCTCGGAATCACAGAATGGTTGAGATCGGAAGGCACCTCTGCAGATCCTCTAGTCCAAGCCCCTGCTCAAGCACGGTCCTCTAGAGCATGTTGCCCAGGATCGCGTCCAGACACCTTTTGACTATCTCCAGGGAAGGAGACTCCACTACCTCTCGGGGCAACCTGGGCCAGGGCTCTGTCACCCTCACAGTCAAGAAGTTTGTCCTCATGGTCAGAGGGAACTGCCTGTGTTTCAGTTTGTGCTCGTTGCCCCTCGTCCTATCTCTGGGCACCACAGAGAAGCGTCTGGCCCCATCCTCTTGACTCCCTCCCTTCAGATACTTGTACACATCGATGAGACCCCCTCCCCTCAGTCTTCTCTTCTCCAGGCTGAAGAGGCCCAGCTCTCTCATGTGAGAGAGCCTTTCTTCATGTGAGAGATGCTCCAGTCTCTCCATCATCTTTGTGGCCCTTTGCTGGACTCGCTCCACTAGCGCCATGTCTCTCTTGTCCATAACGTCCACAGCTTCATAGACTATTGACGACCATTTCTTTTTTCTAGATTTCTGGGAAGCTCAGAGCCACGCAGGTAAGCTGACCAGGAGGAAGGGCGGGGGAACGGTGTGGCCAGCTGTCCGAGTTTCCCTGAAACGACAATGCCTTGTTTCTAAAGGGGCACTGGCTGAGATGGAGTCAAAGGCATATGCCTTCACTTGACTTGACCTAAGGGAAACGAGGCCGGGCTGTGTGTGTTGGGAAGTGTGAGAAAAGGAGTTGCTGAAAGGTGTCACAGTAGGAAGGGGATGTCAAAGTAGGAGGGGGCAATTCTGGAGCGGACGGACAGCCCTGTGGAAAGGGAGAGTGAGATACGTACTCGAGAGCACGTGGGGAGAGAGCCACTGGGACTTGTGCCCTGAGAGAGGAGATGGCTCTGACAGCCGGAAGGTGCCTCTTTGCCCCTCAGCAATTGGATGCAGTGCTTTGGGGAGTGTTTAAGGTCTTTGCTGAATCAAGGCAGCCCTGCTCAGTTCCTGGAACGTTTCACCCCCTCGCGCCTTGCGGTCAGAGGTGCCCAAGTCACCCCGCTAACGGGCTTATCCTCCTTTTCCCTTCCAGTACCCATTACTGTGAATCCAGACTGCCGAGAGCTAGAGCTCCGAGTGTCTGGAGCGCTGGACACCAAGAGCCACGCCTCTGAATCTGCTGAGCTGAGCGCTGCCTCCACAGTCCCCGTCCTGGTGGGGCAGGAAGGGTTTACAGCTGGGAAACACTACTGGGAGGTGGAGGTGGAGCAGCAGCAGGACTGGGTGCTGGGCGTAGTGAGGGAGAAAGGGGAACAAGAGGAGGGAGGACTACTTCCCACGCAGGACTACTGGGCTCTGCACAGATCCCAGGGAGAGCTTTTCGCTAGCGAAGGAGACGTTAGGGTTGAGAAGGAGCAGCTGCGGTGTTCGGTGATTGGTGTACTTCTGGACTTGGAGGAAAGTCAAGTCAAATTTTACGAAGCAGTGCAGATGCTTCTCCTAGTGACAATCCCTATAAGCCTTGCAAAGGAACCTGTAGAGATGTTTCACCCGTTTGTACCCAGAAGGGAAGGGACGTTCACACCTTTTGCTATCCGCCCAGTCAGAATACCTGCTGTTTTGGAGAAACTGTGAAAGGAAGTGTTGACTCTCGTGGATTGTAGAATTAAAGCTCTGTCCAGAAGTGGGGAAGAGTATGACCATAAAACATCTAGGACATTAATAACTGTAAAATAAAGGGAGTAGGATCAGAGGATAAAACAGGAAATCTAGAATAATGTGGAACAATGAAAGAAAGTTGCAGTGTCTCAAAAATAGAAAAAAAGTGCAACCTGAAAGAAAAAGTTTTTTAAATTTTTTAGGTCTCATCTAAGAGACCAGAAGTCTATAATGGCTATATTGGAGCAGAGGATATTCTTAATTTGTCCAAGAAATGTATTGACCATTACAAAGAAATGCACTGTGGTAAATAACTCTGGGACAAATAGAAAACTTCCTTCATTGTTCTTTCTGAATGATCTAACAAAATTGGATATGAAGTAAATGGATGCTTGAAATAAAAAGAAGGAAAATTAGAAGAGTTTGATTATTCACTTTATCGGTTCAGATCATTATAGTTACTAGGAGAATTTAAGCTCCTGCATTTATAGAAGCCTTGATATATTCTCTATTGTCTCTAACTGGAACATGGTTAGGTGACAGAGAGGGGGGATGTTTTGTTTTTTTATTGCTACTTTGATGTGGTCCATACTCAACTTGTTCATGCTCTAGGGACTTTTGAACATTTGTGACAATTCTTTCATGGAGATAGCAACTCCTTGGCCCAGCACCTGCCTTCCCAAGGAAAGACTATCACTTGTTACTGGTGTAGTTAAAGGAGGAGTTATACTTCCCCTGTCTAAGCTGCTAGATTCCTGTATCACTCTTTACATTTAAATACTGTTTGTCAAGAATGCATTATGTTCTCTGACCTCCTGAAAGTGTAATATAAATTCCTGGGTGGAGGTTCAACCTAGGGGGCTTTTTGAACTGTCATCACCTTAAACTTGAACTGGATCCTTATTACTGCCAGTCAGTCCTAGCAGAAATAACACACAAAATCCATTAGTTTTAAAAGAAACCTACATTGCCTTAGTTTGAGTTCCACATGTTGCTTTTTCCATATTAATTCCAGCTGGTTGAGAGACCTGATGAATCAAAAGGAGTTAAGTTAAATCTAAGCATTAAAAAGCTACCATGAGAAAAGAGGAAGAAACATGTGACTAAATACCTGAAGGTCTCATTGAACCTGGAAATGTTACACAACTCTTTATAATAGATTGTGTGTAAACCGAGCTCTGTAATGTCTGCACTTTCTTTTCATTTTATAACGTGTTTGTGTGACTGGCTTGGTTTGTCTTTGGCCGCTTGAGAGGAGAGTAAAATTTCTTTCAGTTTCTGAACCATTCACCGTGACAGAAACTCGGAGCTGCTTGTGCCAAAATTAAGTTAAAAATACTGAGTGCAATCAGAACATCTTCTCATAAGCTAATACAACCTAAATGGTTAATTTATTTGCAGTGCTGCCAGCTGCAAAGGCAATGACTTCTCCTTCTCTAGCTAAAAAAAACTGATAATAGCACAAGGGAAGACTTGATTATCTGGAGAAAGACATTGTGAGGGAGGAGAAAGAGGAGAAGGAAGGCAGGTTTTTCAAAGACTTTTCTAGACTCCACTGAGTAGCAAGTGGATAGAGAACCTGCACTTTAAAGGCCCCCACGGGATTAGGCTTTTGAGAATTTTGTGGGCATCCTGTCATTGTTTTCTGTGAATCTGCTTCATGCCATGGTGCTGCCTACCCAGATCAAGGAGCCTGTGGGCTGTAAGCATTTTGCTATGCACTATGGGCTGCCATTTTCTCCTAATCAGCTCTCTGAGATTCCTGATGATGCAAAAATTTGCCTATATCCTGCTGTCAAACTGGTAATGAGATGGTATATTGCAGATTAAAACCATGCTGTAGCCTCTAAGCTCCTTAGAGTCAAACCTATTTAAATGTGTTCAACACCCTTCTGGTTTTGAACTAGCCTTTTGCTTGATGCCCCCTATTCAGGAAGGTACCGCATCCATGGGTCATCAGCAGCCCATTGGGCAGGTTCCCTGCTGCCATAAACCGGAGGATGCACACACTGGCAAATAAGGATGCAGTGGGCAAAGGTAATGACCATAAGGAGAACCTAAGGAAATCAACTGAGCTGGAGATATGAACAGTACAGAAACTTAAACTGAAGAGCTTTAAATTGAAGATACCTGAATTGAAGTGACTCAGTGTCCCTCTGTAGAGGGCATTAAAACAATATCCTTTCCAAACACATAGCAACCCCTTTTTGTCTTCTGAACAAGCTGAAACCTATTATGCAGAAATGTTCATGAGTATATCTCTTCTTCCCCTTTTAATTCCCCTAGTTAATTCTTATTTTGAGAAAAAGCTAAGATTTCCAGCTCCTCCTCTTCCTTGCCTTAGCATAATGAAAGCACACCCCTAACTTTTTCTACCCCTGAAAAGAATTTTCTTAAACTTTCCTATTATATCAGTCTTTCTTTTGTATTTTAGTCATCAGTCACAGGTGAGAGGTGCTTCTTACTGTTTTCCCATTAGTGCAGAATTGCTCCTCCTACTTCAGCCTGTAAATGACTTTGGTCAGTTTGCTTCTTCCCGCATTTTTTAAAAATCTCATAGCCAGGAGAGCTCTTCTGACAGGTAAGAGTACAAGGCTTTTTCATGCTGAAGAGGATGCACAATACAAATAGAAATAGATATGAAAAATATATCTATACATACAATGTCTTTTCAGCCAGGTAAATTGTATTTAATTCCTAACGAGATATCTTGAGACTACTGTAATGAGAAGGAATAGGGTAAAGGATATCTTAGAATTATTAAGGGAGAGGTATTTTAATAACTAATCCTCTGTTTATTTATGTCAGCTAATCAGGTAGGGTTTTGAGATTGTACTACATATGTAACTGTTTTAGTTCATTGGCTTACTACTTTGTTGAAAAAAAGTAATATTCACTGCTTTGAAATGGTAAACCATCTATAAAACTATAAAATATAGGCAGAAATATTTAGCATAGCAAGGAATAAGGAGTTGTGGAAGAAGAGGGCAAGGTATACACAACAACGACAGCCAGATATGCTTTTTACTGAGTTTTTATTCTTTTGAAATCTTGAATGGTTGAAATGAACATGTTAATACTCTGTCCTTCCGATAGGCTGTTATGAAAAGATCTTATAATGAGACCTTATTGATAATTGTACATTTTTATGGATAATTATGCATTTGTATAAGTAGCTGTGCTTTTCTGAGGAGCAGCTCTGCAATTTGGTGTTCACTAAAGTGGAGGAAGAGACTTACTTGGGGATGTATTGCTATCCCTTAACCTGCCTTTCAGGCGAGCACTATGACATGCAACATTTTCCCTGTACTGTGCTTACATTGCCTCCCTCTCATACTCTGTACATCTAGAGTAAATGTCAGATCCTTGCAAGTCATGGCGTACTCTACAGGTACTTCCTTACCGTACTGTCACTCCAGTTTTACTGCTCTACATAAAAACTCTTTTATTGCCCAATAGCAGTTCATTGATGTCTTCTGCTGAGACAGAGTACAAGCTTGCTGAAGCTAAGGTAGAATGCAGGTGCAAGATAACGTAGCCATAGAGATGTAGGGTGAGGCATGCCAAGGGTCACAAACTGATTGATTTAGCTATGAGAGGTACTGTAAAAGAAGGAAGACAATCTGGTAGTAGTTAGTCACAACTAAATGGGACTGCATTGCTGTCTGAAGTCGCCTGAGACAGGACCCTCAAAAGTTTCCAAAGAGACTGCTGGCGAGCCAGAAGAGTCAACCCCCCCCCCCCCCCCCCCCCCCAAATTATCTGTGAGGAAAACAGATAGTAGATCATTCTTCTGCACAGTGGCCAGGACTTTATAGTCTCCTGGGATCTAGAGGGCTGGTGCCATTTCCTGCTAGTCTTTAACAACAAAAGTAGGGCTTTCTATGACCCTATCTCATACCTGCTTCCAGAATAGCCTTCTTGGCCCCAGGATCATGACCAGTGCCAAGGTAGGTAGGGAAGCATGAAGCACAGCTCAGGTGCCTAGAAGGATCCAGCAATGGTGGGTGATACAGCCTGTTTATTGCTTAAGAGCCTAATAATATAAGTACAAGGCTGACAGTGAGAATCCTGGCCTTTCATCAAACTTTTTTTGATGAAAGTCAGATGTTCCTACACCCCAGGAAAGGGACAGTCAGGGAACTATGATAGCCAGCTGTTCCTGCAGAGAAAGCCAGGAGCTAAGAGTAACCCCACAAACAGGGAACACTCCCACAAGGTCTGGGTATGGCAGGCAGAGATAGGTACTGCCAACAGGGTCCTCAAACAGCCCCAGAGAAGGCAAAGTGATAAATCAGATCCAGGATCCATCTAGGGAGTCTAATTAGAAGCAAAAGGAAACAGGGACAGAGACAAGTTATAGTGTTGATCCAAATTCCACCCAGGAAACAAACTACCTGCAAAACAAATCCACAGCCCCTCCAGGAGACAGGGCCAGAGAGAAAACTCAGTTCAGGGGCCTGAGCTTACATGGAGCTCCTAGAGCAATGGGCACAGGGTGTGGCTGGAGACTCCAGTTGAGGGTGATCAGGGCCATTAAGGTCCTTTAGTGGACTTAGGGCCCTGACAATGACCAAATTGAGTATGCTGTGCAGTTGGCACAATTCTTAATGCTGAGAGAGCAGGGAAGAGGGACTCCCAGATCAGAGAATACAGCTGGAAGGAGGGAGTCAAGGGTCTGTCTGTGCTCCCTGTGTTGCTCAGGTATGTTTTAGCATAATACAGAGCTGCAAGAATCTACCTAGCAGAGACAAGAAATACTTTGGAGTTTACACCAAAGCAGAATTATTCTCAATTACAATGAGGGCAAAGCTGTATAAGTTTTACGAGCTGCATACTGTGTTTGTACCATGTGGAATCAAAACAGTGTGGCTTACTAGAAATCCCAAAACCTTGGTCCTAGACGATGTAAGCATTCTGTAAAGCAACTCCGCGCTTTTGAAGTAGATCCTTTGGAAGCAAAAATCACTTACAGG